AACTAAGGTACTTCGAACTTCAGCTACGTTATTCACGTAGCTGAAGTTGCGTACCTTAGTTCGAATTAGGGGGGTAGTGTAGACCTGGCCTTAGTATTTGTGACCACCATTATAAACGTCAAAAGCACAAAACTATCTTTGGAGGATATTTTATATATAAAGGTAATAATTATGCTGCTTTTTTTGTGTGCAGAGATCAAATGTAAAAGAATGTTAGATACCAAAGCTGTGTATATTCACTAGTTGATCTTGGTTTAGAATAGATTACACAATGCAGTTAGTTTCCATAACTGAGTTAATTGGAGCATCAGATATGGGCTTTTGAGAGAGTGTTTTGGAATTAACATTTCAGCAATAGCCATTATTTGTCATGGGTCCCAGCATGCAGCTATCCAAAGAGAGGCTATAATGCAGGGTTTTGAAACATGAGGGCTGAGCTAATAATATAGTAGGAAATAATTTATGCAATTAGCTATGACTGAAAAGGATTAAAAATATCTAATTCAAGAAACTCTTATTTTTGAGAACCTGTGAACGACAGGAATGTAACAGAAGTATATTTTGTTTCAACTTCCATAAAGAACAGAGTTTTAAAATTTTATTTTCTGTTTGCAGAAATGCCTATCATTTGAATAGTACCTATAATGAAAAGGAACGCTAATGTACCAGTGTAGATACAAAGTTTTCTAAACTAGGAAAATGGACGACTTTGACATTGATCAAAGTGTCAGTTAGTTGTCAATGTAGTTTATAATTTTTAAAATATCTCTATTTTCTGCACGTACTTCGGGTGCATTCTTGAGTAAATAATGTTATTACAGGACAATCAAATATTTGTGTGTTTTGGGCTTTGAGTTATGAGGCAGCAATGGTAACAAAGTCAGAAGAAATAAAGTAAACTTACCTAAGCACTATCTATTCTACAAATAAATAAATCCTTATATCTGGCGTATCTGCATCTAGTAGATCCTTAGTACAGTGTAGAACTAATTATTTTTATATTAAAGCTAATTAAATGTAGCTAGCATTCATAAAGAGAGACTTCTAGTTTTAACTGTGACCATTTTAATGCACCTATTTGGTATATGCTGATAATGCTTTATACAGTTAGTGTGCAATACCTGTTTTCCTTCTGCCCCTCTTTTTGCGCAGCCTTGGTCTCATCTCACCCCATAGTGAATTTTTGGTTTTGTTTGGTTTTTATTTTATTTTTTAAGTATCATCAAAATTGAATCTTTGTTTTTTAAGTTATGGAAATGTGGAAAAAACTAAAAATTGTTGAACCAAGATGATTCAAATGTCAGAAGCTGGGAACTTGCCAGCAAGTTAAAGTAGTATGGGCTGGATGAATGGACTATAAGGTGGATAGAAAGCTGGCTAGATCATCGGGCACAACGGGTAGTGATCAATGGCTCCATGTCCAGTTGGCAGCGGGTAGCAAACGGAGTGCCCCAAGGGTCAGTCCTGGGGCCGGTTTTGTTCAGTATCTTCCTTAATGATGTGGAGGATGGCGTGGATTGCACCCTCAGCAAGTTTGCAGATGACACTAAACTGGGAGGAGTGGTAGATACGCCGGAGGGTAGGGACCTAGACAAATTAGAGGATTGGGCCAAAAGAAATCTAATGAGGTTCAACAAGGACAAGTTCAGAGTCCTGCACTTAGGACAGAAGAATCCCATGCACTGCTACAGACTAGGGATCGAGTGGCTAGGCAGCAGTTCTGCAGAAAAGGACCTAGGGATTACAGTGGATGAGAAGCTGCATATGAGTCAACAGTGTGCCCTTGTTGCCAAGAAGGCTAATGCCATTTTGTGCTGTATAAGTAGGAGCATTGCCAGCAGATCGAGGGACATGATCATTCCCCTCTATTCAACATTGGTGAGGCCTCATGTGGAGTACTGTGTCCAGTTTTGGGCCCCACACTACAAGAAAGATGTGGAAAAATTGGAAAGAGTCTAGCAGAGGGCAAAAAAAAATGAGTAGGGGGCTGGAGCACATGATTTACGAGGAGAGGCTGAGGGAACTGGGGCTTATTTAGACTGCAGAAAAGAAGAATGAGGGGGGATTTGATGGCTGCTTTCAATTACCTGAAAGGGGATTCCAAAGAGAATGAGAGTACTTGTGGCACCTTAGAGACTAACAAATTTATTAGAGCATAAGCTTTCGTGGACTACAGCCCACTTCTTCGGATGCATAACAGAAGTGGGCTGTAGTCCACGAAAGCTTATGCTCTAATAAATTTGGTAGTCTCTAAGGTGCCACAAGTACTCCTGTTCTTCTTTTTGCGGATACAGACTAACACGGCTGCTACCCTTAAACCTGTCCAAAGAGAATGGGTCTAGACCAAGCGTGGCCAACCTGAGCCTGAGAAGGAGTCAAAATTTACCAATGTGCATAGTCAAAGGGCCACAGTAACACGTCAGCTACACCCCCAACCCCTATTGTCTCCCACCAGCCAGCAGCATCGCCGATCAGCACCTAACCTTCCATCCCTGCGCCTCCCGCCCGCCACGATCAGCTGTTTTGTGGTGTGCAGGAGGCTTGGCGGTGGGGGGTGGGAGGAGCCAGGGTGCAGCAGACTCAGGGGTAGGGGCTGGGGCCTGGGACAGAGCCAGGGATTGAGCAGTGAGCACACTGTAACACATTGGAAAGTTGGCCCTTGTAGCTCCAGCCCTAGAATTGGTGCCTATGCAAGGAGCCGCATATTAACCTATGAAGAGCCGCATGTGGCTCCGGAGCCATAGGTTGGCCTCCCCTGATCTAGACTGTTTTCAGTGGTACCAGATGATTGAACAAGGAGTAATGGTCTCAAGTTGCGGGACGGAGGCGGGGGGAGAGTTAGGTTGGATATTAAGAAAAACTTTTTCACTTGGAGGGTGGTGAAGCACTGGAATGGGTTACCTAGGGAGGTGGTGGAATCTCGATCCTTAAAGGTTTTTAAGGTCAGGCTTGACAAACCCCTGGCTGGGATTATTTAGCTGGGGATTGGTCCTACTTTGAGCAGGGGGTTGGACTAGATGACCTCCTGAGGTCCCTTCCAACCCTGATATTCTATGATTCTAACTTCAAACACATCTTGTTTTTATAAATTTTGCTGTGAATAAAAAAAACTGAATTTGAAGAAAATTAATTACATTTAATGTTATGAATGTTTAAAGTTAGCAACTTTGAGCATGCATATTTACACAGTTTCTAAACATTAACATTTTAAGGATGTCACCTTCCATTGGCTTCGGTGATGCATGTAAATGCTACAGGCTTAATAATAGCTGTACAGTAGGGTTAATGTTTATCTAGGTCACATGTTGTGAAGTTTACTTCATTAAAGTTTACAAAATATGTTGATCTTTAGAGGGAAGGTGCTAAAGAAGTCAAATTCTTCTTCTTTATAATTGCAAAAATTAATCACACTTTCTTAAATCTTACGGTAACACAAAGCAAACAGACTATCTGTAATAACAAAAATTGTTTTAGTGTTGTCCTTGTAATATTTTTAAAAAGGCTTTTCTGAAAAATAGTAAATGAGAACTGTTTGGATTTGACACTTCCTCTGTTATCTGCTAATGTGATTTTTATACCTAATTTATACCTTTATGAAGGCTGGTGGCAGATCCACCAGCTGGATAGTCCAAAAAATATCTAAATGATTGAGTCAGGTTCCAAATCCCTTTCCGCAGGGCAGGTTTTGTTAACAATGGACAATACAGAAGACTTGATGTAATGCAAAACACTTGGAAAGAAATACTTTCCTTGCCAGGACACATCCAGCTCTCCCTAGTCCACTCTGATTCTGGGTCTTTCACTACTAAGGATAGGTTGTCTCTGTTTTATAGCAGGCACTGCTTGCAACCTGCAGTCACATGACCCTTGTCAGTTTTAAGGGGTTTAACCTTAAAATAGGGCACAGCAGCGTGCACATGCACATCAGCACCCTGTTCCACTGGACCTGTATATTTCATGAACATGTAACTTTTTAAAACTATAATGGAAATTAAAATAATTTTAGTCTGAAGAAAATATGGAGTTTTCTTTACGTAGTATAGACCAAGAAGATTAAAGATAAATGGTGAAAGGTTTTTGTAAATGACTTGTATAATGTTTTCTTTCCTAAACTAAAAATAAATAAAATATCATAAAAGCATACAACTTGTAATATATCCACAAATATGAATTACTTATACAAATCTTTTTATATTATATTATTTTATATTAGCAATAAAAGAAATCTCAGGTTCTTTCCAGATTGATGGATTATACCATATGCTATCATACTGTGTCTATTTCAGTAACATTTTCCTTTCTTAGTGAACAAATAAAATGAAGAATACATCTAAAAAAATTCTTCTTACAAGATTCAGTATAAGCCTGGAAAGGTTGGCAGGAAGTACAGGAGAGGCTTTTTTTCTTGGTTTCATTTGCATTTATTAAAATACGCTTTTTTTTTCTGATCTAGAAAGAATTCAGTTATATCCAATAAACTTTTGTTTGGAAATTAGCATAGTATTCTATTTCTGAAAGACTTACTTTGGTTGTATTTTCCTCCCCCCAGAACATAGTTCAGTCCATGAAAGATATGTATGGGATTAACCTCTCAGATGTTCCTTCAGAGGATGACCTCACAATATATACAAGGTAAGAACATTCTCAGTCATAATCAGTAAGTGATGACTGGAACTAGTTAAATACTCTGTATGAAAAATTGCTCCTTTTTCTTCAGAATTTATTTAAACATTGTTCTGGTATGGCACTGACACTAGCACTAGAGGTAACTTGCAGCTGGCAGTATTTTACTATTCTGTGTCTTTAAAATGAAACACTCTCGTACGTGTGCACACAATTCTCTTAACTTCAATGAGGAGCTGTGCAGATGCCTCCAAGTGCAGAATTTGATAGTTAAATCAAATGGACTTGTAGTGAAATATCAGTTAACATTTTTCCAGGAACAAGGGACAAACTCAAATTAATAGTGGCTCTTTAATTTACAAGTACATAGTTTGCAGTTTTTCACATTTATTCTCAAATGTTGAATTACACTGATTTATAAAATGTCAATATTCAGAGTTCTGCAACTCCAGAGAATATTTTTTTAAATAATTTAAATTTCTCATCCGTTAAACAGTCTTTGCTATAAAATGCAAGTACAATTACATAAATTAACCTTTTTTTGGTAAGAAAACTATTATGATTCTGTCTTCTGCATAGAGGCACAAGTGTTAGCTATAACCTCTTATACAAAATTTTGTTTGGCTGTGACTGTTCCAGGAAAAATGTTTCTGGTTGGTATTCAACCTTTTTCTTCAAATATTTACACCTTTTTTGCTATATGCCAGGTCATTCAGAAGCTACTTAGGCATTTTCTGTCTCATCAGAGGCAACTATCTTAAGGTTTAAAATTTCTGGTTTTCATCTGAGACTGGAACCAATTATTAAATCTGGCATACAGGCTACTAGTGGAAAAGTGCGGGGAAATGACCAAACTAGGAGAGTAACTCATAATAACAGTGGCATGAAGATTTTAAATGATAACTTTCTTGTACAAATACTTCAGTTTTAATAGGAGATGGTTGAAACCAAATTGACTGGGACTCCAATATCATGGTTTGATGAAATAGTAACTACATAGCTTACTCTGCATCACCATTATAAGGAAGTACTTTGGATCCAATTCGCAAAAGCATTTAAGCATATATTTAAGTTTTGTCATGAATAGAGATGGACTTAAGCGCTTACTTAACTTTAAGTGCTGTCCTGAGCAGGCTTGTTTCCTGAACTGGGCCCTTTATGTTAGTAAATTATAGTCAGAAAAGCAAAATAATAGGAAGGTAGTCAGGGAAACTTAGATTGAAATTAAAGTCTCTTCTAATTTGTAAAGGCCTGTAATGCTGTTGCCAAGAGAGCAACTGCTTACCCAGTCACATGGTGTGCAAATCAATTACGCTAGTCTGGTAAATCAATGTTTCAAACACCTGCTTAGGCTTTTGAATTAATTAATGGAGCACTGGGCAGTAGAAAACTACACCTCACAATGAAAACTTAGACATACATGTTTTTCAAGTGAATAACTACAAGCCATGCGTTGAAATGCAGCTGTGCAGCTTTCGATTTGCTTTACGATGTGTAATGACTGGCTAATTACATTACTTATTATGTTGTGAACCATCTCTGAATTGTGAGGGGAAATTTAATTCACTATAGTCTCTCTCTTCATGTGTTATGTTCTTAGTTTAGTTTAGTTTAAAAAGAATCGGTCCTAATATTATTTGACTACATGCAAATTATAGACTATTTTTTAAAAAGCCTCTTTTTAGGAAATCAAGTATAAGATCATGACTTAAATTTACTGAGGCTGGGGCAGGGAGAATGCTGTTGCTAAAGAGCTCAAGTCTGCCATGTGCAATGGAGTTACTGAGTTCCCTCCCATTTTCCCTACATAGCCCCTAGCCTGGTTCATCCTTCTCAGCTCTTCTACTGATTTCCCTTTCATCTGCTGCCTGGAGGGAACCCAATATGTGTGTTTCTGTCCTCAGTTCCTTTTCACAAGCTTTGTGGGAGCAGAGGAAATCCTCTACTCTGAAAGTATAGACTGGATAGAGGAGGAAGACACATTGCATATCCTTCTGATGGCAGATCAAAGGGTTGTCCAATTAAATAGCTGAAACCAGTGAAATGGGAGGGCAGCTTTTCACAGCTATGCAAGTCAAGTAGGAGAGAGGTCAGAATCAGACTTATCTGCATGGAACTTGAGCCAACTTCCCATCTATTTAGCTTGCTTCTTTCTACAGCTGCCCTACCACCCAATTCCAATAGTGACACCTAGGTGTGCTCCTCTTTCTCTCTCCTCCTAGAGGTCTTCTGTGGGGAGTTCATGCTGTTGGAAAGAGCAGTTAACTCTATCTCCTCTTGCTGATGGCCCCATCTGCTGCCTGTGAAATAGTGAGCAAGACCTCCTCCTAACTAAAGTGAAAGGGGACCAAGATGTACCCAAACTGAAGTTTTAAAAGTAACTTTAAAAAAAAAAAAAACTAGACCAAGTTAAGTGTATTAATCATCATGACTCTCACTTTTGTGTTCAGTGAGGTCAGTGTTCCAGCTGTCCTTTAATGTACTCAGTGTGACTTACTGAAACTGCATGACTCTTCAAATTGTACAGAACTGTGTCATTTTCATTAATTCACTGAAGTTATTGCAAATAGTTCTTGGTCTCTTTATGACTTATACTTTTAACCACTGCTACTCATAGGTTTGTTCAGTTGGGGCAGAATCAACATAAACAAGACAAGAACAACCAGCAGCTTTGTTCAAAACATCGTCTAGATGGGGTTATAAATTTGTAAGTACTGTTTATTTTTTCATTTTTATTTTTTTATTTTAGTTCAGTTCTTGCTGTGGGTTCCCTCTTGTGAGGGAATTCTTTGAAGTCAGACACTGTACCTTAAAATCATTGAATAAATGTCTGATATCAAAATATCATGAATGCCACAAATATTTTCTAACTATTCTTTCATCAACATCCATTACTTGTATTGGATACAGGGCTCAAACCCCAAACATAGTGGGTAGCTGTGACATGGGTGGATTGTACCCACCGAAACAGGTATCTAGCAGTCTCTTTTTCTCATTCAAGTGACACTTGTATAGTATATCCCGCAAATAAAATCTCATTTAATTTAAATGAATTTGCAGCTTTCTGTGAAATTTATATTTTAGAATCTTTAATTAATATCCTATATCTGCCCACCAGTATTCCAATTAGGAGTGTTCAAATCAGAATCTTTTTTTCAAATATATTCTTTTGGATCTGAAAATTGTTTATTTGGTCCAGAATAATATTAGTATGTTTTAAACTATTAACTGAAAGTAAATGTTAATATATCAGTTGCTAGAACTAATAGTTTTTATAAACCTTTGAGAGAGATGCGGTTAGGTGAAAATATGTAGGATGTAATACATTGATACTGGACTTTATTAATCATTAGAAGTGTATGAAAAAATATAGACCAGTGGATACCTAGATATGATACTTATCTGATGGTTAGAGCAGCATAAATAAATAATTGAAAAGAAATTATCTGAAATAAAATAACATATACCATTAATTGAAGGTATCTGAACTGAAGGGTAACAAGGTGGTCTGAAATATTAAGATCCCAATTCTGCAACTGATTCCAGGTCTGCAGGGCTTGGTGCCCAGGCAGTCAGCTGCAGGATTGGGACCTTAAATTGAACATGCAGAACAATATGTTCCAAAATAGTGAAGCTATTCCCCATAATGACTCCATGCCAAAAATCAATCAGGAAAGATTTGAAGAGAAGCCAGGAACCTTGCAAAAATGACAGTTAATCAGAATTTTGAAAAACCTGTAATTTAAAACAATCTAAGGTAAAATGAACCAAGTTGAGTTTTTATCTCCACAGGCCTAAGCTCCTATCAAAGTTGCCTAGACTCTCCAGTAGTTGTATCAGTTTTGTTATATAAGAACATAAGAACAGCCATACTAGGTCAGACCAAAGGTCCATCTAGCCCAGTATCCTGTCTTCCAACAGTGGCTAATGCCAGGTGCCCCAGAGGGAATGAACAGAACAGATATTCATTAAGTGACCCATCCCCTGTCACCCATTCCGAGCTGCTGGCAAACAGAGGCTAGCGACACCTTCCCTGTCCATCCTGGCTAATAGCCATTGGTGGACCTATCCTCCATGAACTTATCTAGTTCTTTTTTAACCCTGTTAGTCTTGGCCTTCACAACATCCTCTGGCAAGGAGTTCCACAGGTTGACTGTGCATTATGTGAAAAAATACTTCCTTTTGTTTGTTGTTAATCTGCTGCCTATTATTGTCATTTGGTGACCCCCTTAGTTTGTGTGTTATGAGAAGGAGTAAATAACACTTCCTTATTTACTTTCTCCACATTAATCATGATTTTATAGACCTCTATCATATCCCCCCTTAATAGTCTTTTCCAAGCAGAAAAGTCGCAGTCTTATTAATCTCTCTTCATTTGGCAGCTTTTCCATACCCCTAATCATTTTTGTTGCCCTTTTCTGAACCTTTTCCAATTCCAATATATCTTTTTTGAGATGGGGCAGCCACATCTGCACACAGTATTCAAGATGTGGGCGTACCATGGATTTATATAGAGGCAATATGATATTTTCTGTCTTATTATCTATCCCTTTCTTAATGATTCCCAACATTCTATTCACTCTTTTGACTGCCGCTGCACATTGAGTGGATGTTTTCAGAGAGCTATCCATAATAACTCCAAGCTCTTTCTTGAATGGTAACAGCTAATTTAGACCCCATCATTTCATATGTATAGTTGGGACTATGTTTTCCAATGTGCATTACTTTGCATTTATCAACATTGATAAAGTGATGTTTTCAAAAGATTCTTAAACTACAGATGAATTTTAAATGCTTCCAACTTATTTTCAAAAGGGTAATATGCAGTTTGTTAGAATACTTTATTTAAACAGTTTCATTTAAAAATATATTAATTATTTTCTGTCACACTGTCTGGAGTGGTTCACGACTGAGTGCCTTCCTCAGGGCAGTGTCAAAAACAGGGCAGATACCGCAAACTGGAGGTATGTTCTATCATTAGATTTTACCAAGCCAGTAACAAATGTGAGCTCCTAGATCACTGTAACAATCTTATCATGGAGTCACAGTCAGTCACTTTGGACTCTCCAGTCTATCTTGTCACCTAGACAAACTGGACTTAGTGGTAAATAGTCACATACACCAAAAATCACACCACATTCAGGTTGCTTCCAGTCCCACCAGACCAGTCACTTACCCCAGTTCACTTGGTACCCTAAGTCTTGCACCAAAGACAACACCCCTAGCCAATCCTGTAATAAATTATGTAAAGGTTTAGTAACTAGGAAAGAGAAATAGTTACATATTGGTTAAAGCAAGCAAACATAGATATACAAATGAGTTACCATCTAAATCCTAAGAGTGACAGAGTTGTAGAGACCTGTCAATTCAAATTCTCTTTCAGGGGGACCCAGGTGATAAGCCCTCGGGATCTCTGACTTCAGTGTGGTTTCTCTGGCCCTGTGAGAGTTCACACAGCAAAGGGATGAAAAATCTTCACATTAACTATTTTTATTTAACTCTTCCAGCATTCAAAGGAATGGGACGAGGCCTTCTGCACATACTTCACCATGGGTGCAATAAGGTCATTCTGTGTACTGTGACGATCCTTGATGGCCCCTCTGATTTTGATATTTCTTCGGGATGGGTGGGGAGGGGAAACACTCTTCCCATCTGGCTTCACAAGTTTAGAGCAAACATTTTTAAAGTTATAAAGCAAAAATTTACATATTTCTTTATAGCATAGAATACAGACATTACAAGTGAGGTTAATGCATGCAGCAACTTACAAGTATTTCATCAAGTCTAAACACTAAATAATTCTTGTAAGACTAATACCTATTTTGAACTGGTCTGGTTTCCAGCTGTGAGTTTGTCAGTTCTTAACTAATGCCTGCAGTCTTGGCAGGAGCTGACACTTGATCTGCTAGCATCACGCATTTTTTCTTAAAATAAAGAAAACTTATGCTGACAGCCCACCTTTGTATTAAAGAGCTTTCCTCATATAGCCGCTTGCTGATTTACCTTGATGCTAAAAAAAAATTCTTTTGGACATTCTTGCCTTCAGAAAATAATGCAGAACTCCGGTGAAGTGGGAGACCCTTCTAAACTTTGAAATAAAACTAGCTAGAGATACTAAACTCAGTTTCAGAGAATTGTCTTTGATACTGCAAAAGTTAAAAATTAAGTGGGAGGAAGGAAATTGCAAGGGAAATGAAATCTGTTCAAAAATAACAAAATTGCTGTTTGTAGTGGGGTGCAGTCACCTCTCGTGAGTGCCCTATGGTCGAGTGTATGCGGACCTGCACTTTCTCTCCTCTCACTAGGCTTAGGTCCTCAATTAGTCCTTTAGTCTATCTATGGTCTCAGCCCTAGTGTCAAGCCGTATTCCAGGGCTTCCCCCTGGAGGCAATGTCCTCGCCATCTCTAGGCGTTTCAGGCCTCAGCTCTCGTGCTGGGCCACTAAAGAGTTCAGTTCCCCTTCTAGGGTGCCTCAAAGTCCAGGCCACTTTCCCCAGTGGCTAATAGGAGGTGGGGGGACACAGGCCTGCCCACTAGTCCAGGTCCCAGCCCATCGAAGCCATGCCGCTGCTCTAATTCCCTGTGCCACTTCCCTGCGGCCTGCATAGAATCATAGAAGATTAGGGTTGGAAGAGACCTCAGGAGGTCATCTAGTCCAACCCCCTGCTCAAAGCAGGACCAACACCAACTAAATCATTCCAGCCAGGACTTTATCAAGTCAGGCCTTAAAAACCTCTACATATTGAGATTCCACCACCTCCCTAGATAACCCATTCCAGTGCTTCACCACCCTCCTAGTGAAATAGTTTTTACTAATATCCAATTTAGATCTCCCGCACTTCAACTTGAGACCATTGCTCCTTATTCTGTCATCGGCCACCACTTCGAACAGCTCCATCCTCTTTGGAACCCCCCTTCAGGTAGTTGAAGGTTGCTATCAAATCCCCCCTCACTCTTCCCTTCTGCAGACTAAATAAACCCTGTTCCCTCAGCCTCTCCTCATAAGTCAGGTGCCCCAACCCACTAATCATTTTCATTGCCCTCCGCTGGACTCTCTCCAATTTGTCCACGTCTTTTCTGTAGTGGGGGCCCAAAACTGGACACGGTACTCCAGATGTGGCCTCACCAGTGCCAAATAGAAGAGAATAATCACTTCCCTCGATCTGCTGGCAATCATCCTACTAATGCAGCCCAATATTCCATTAGCCTTCTTGGCAACAAGGGCACACTGCTGACTCATATCCAGCTTCTCATCAATTCCCAGATCCTTTTCTGCAGAACTGCCACTTAGCCAGTCAGTCCCCAGTCTGTCGCAGTGCATGGGATTCTTCTGCCCTAAGTGCAGGATGCTGCACTTGTCCTTGTTGAACCTCATCAGATATGGCCAATCCTCCAATTTGTCTAGGTCACTTTGGACTCTATCCCTACCTTCCAGCATATCTACCTGTCCCCCCAGCCTAGTGTCATCTGCAAACTTGTTGAGGGTGCAATTCATCCCTTCATCCAGATCATTAATGAAGATGTTGAACAAAACCAGCCCCAGGACAGACCCCTGGGGCACTCTGTTTGATGCCAGCTGCCAACTAGACATTGAGCCGTTGATCACTAACGGCTCTGCAATCACATCAACCAACTCCCCAAGCACCCTCGGATGCATTAGATCCAGCCCCATGGACTTGTGCATGTCCAGCTTTTCTAATTAGGCCT